CTCTTCTCTGGAGACCTGAATGGCTCACCCTCTTACCTCCTTCAAGCCTTTGCTTAGACATGTTACTTTCTCAGTGTGGTTTACCCTCACTATCATATTAAAAGTTGGAACTCCCCACAGTCTCCTTAGCCTGCTTTGTTATATTTTTGCAAAGCAATTACCACCTTCTAATCTTTACTTATTTATTATATTTATTGTTTAGTATAATAGAATTTAAGCTTCACGGGGGCAAGGATTTTTGTGTGTTTTGTTTGCTGAGCCTAGAACAGTGCTTAGAATAGTACCTGGCTAGTAGGAGGAGCTCAATTAGTATTTACCAATATGATTCAATGAATCAATGAATGAATGAAGATCTAATGAAGTGGACACAGATTTGCCTGGTGGAATGATTCTTCATTGATAGGGATATCTTTAGGTCACTATAAACATAAATTTGATAGGGAGTTTAGTTGAATGGAAAAAGCTTACCCATTAGAGTCATACCTGACTCTAGCCCCTGGCACTTACAGATATAGTTTTTGTATTTTTGACATAAGAATAATATCTATTCTCAGGGTTGTTGTGAGGATTAAATTAATTAACATATGTAACATACCAAATAAAGTAACTGATACATTGTAGGACCTCACAAAATGATAGCTATTATCAGCAGTCTTCTCTTCCATGGAAAGATTGTGAGAAGCTCTCACAAGGTGAGTGCATTCTATCAAACACTTAAGGAAAAAAAAATTTACATAAAATCAGAAAATAGAGGCAGAGGAAACAATTCCTAATCATTTTATGAGGCCTGGATTAGTTCTGATATCCAAAACTGGTAGACATTACAAAAACAATAACAAAAGTAAATTGTGGACTAGTATTCTTAATGTACATAAACACAAAAATCCTAGTAAGATGATAGCAAATGAAATTCAGCAACGTATATAAAAGGATACTATAATGAGTAAGTGGGGTTTATCTCAGGGTCGCCTTAACATTTGGGATTCAATCACTGTAATGTTCTCTATTAACAGAATAAAGCAGAAAACCTACATAATGAGACCTGGCGCGGTGGCTCACGCCTGTAATCCCAGCACTTTGGGAGGCCGAGAAGGGCAGATCACGAGGTCAGGAGATGGAGACCATCCTGGCTAACACGGTGAAACCCCGTCTCTACTAAAATACCAAAAAAAATTAGCCGGGCGAGGTGGCGGGCGCCTGTAGTCCCAGCTACTCGGGAGTTTCAGCCACTCAGGAGGCTGAGGCAGGAGAATGGCTTGAACACAGGAGGCGGAGCTTGCAGTGAGCTGAGATCTGGCCACTGCACTCCAGCCTGGGCGCCAGAGCGAGACTCCGTCTCAACAAAAAAAAAAAAAAAGAAAAAGAAAAAGAAAGAAAAACTACATATATCGTTATTTCCATAAATACTGACAAGGCATTTGAAAAAAATTAACACTCTTCATGATAAAAACACCCAGAAAGTTAGGAATAAAAATGATCTTCCTCAATCTGATGAAGGGCATCTATGAAAAACCTATAGCTAACACTATAGGTAAAGGTGAACTACTGAGTCCTTTGCCCTTAAGCACAATATTTACTTCAGTCATTTCTATTCAACTTACACTGAAGGCTTTAGCCAATGCAATAAAGTTAGATATAAAAATGTAAAAACCTAAAGATCACAATTTAATAAGTAAAATAAACTCTATTTTTAGTTGATATGATTGTTTATGTAAAAAAATCCTAAGAATTTTTCAAGATTAGAATTTAGTAGCATCTTAGGATACAAGGTCAATATTGAAAAACCAATTGTGTTTCTGTATATTGGCTTCAATAATTGTAAAATAAAACATGAAAATTATATTTTAAATAGAGCTCAATAATTTAGAAATAAATTAAAAAAACTGAAGATACATACACTTAAAACTAAAAAATACTGCTGAGAGAAATAAAGTATCAAAATAAATTGAGAGATACGCCATATTTATGGATTGAAAAACTCAGTATTGTTAAGTTTCCCAGATTAACCTATAAATCCAAGGCAGTTATACTTATAATCTTATCATGCTTTTTTTGTAGAAATTGACAAGCTGATTCTAAACTTTCTAAGGAAATGCAAAAGCTACACCCAAACTTTTGAGAAAGAACAAAGTAGGAAGACTCAAACTACCTGACTTCAAGACTTACTATAAAACTTTAGTAATCAAAAGAGTATAATATTTCTGTAAGTGGTGACAAATAGATTAGTAGTACTAAATAAAGATTTCAAAGTTAAGATCGACCCTTTATGACATTTGATTTCGTACGAAGGCTCCAAAGCAATTCAGTAATGAAAAGAAAATGGTTTTTTGAAAGCAGTAGTGGAACGATGAGATATTTATGAGAAAGAAGGAACTTCTATTTCTGCTTCAGCAACATATGAAAAATAAATTCAACATAGTTTTAGAATGGAATGTAAAAGCTAATACAATAAGACTTCCAAAAAAAAAAGCATAGTGGAGTGTCTTTATAACTTAGTGGTTTAAAAAAAGACTTCTTAAAGATAGGACATGAAAATTAATAACCAAACAAAAATTTGTAATTAGACCTTTCATAATTTAAAGCTAGTGCTCATCAAAATAAGTCATTAAGAAAATGAGTGGACAAGGCTCAGATTGGGGAAGAACATTAACAAAATGCATATTTGACCAAGAACTTGTATCGAAAATATATGCTTATGAAAACTCCTCCAACTCAATAACAAAAAGACAATCCGTTTTAAAAAATGGCCCAAATATTTGAATAGACATTTCACAAAGGAACATATGCAAATGACCAATAAACCTAAGAGAAAATGTTGAACAATATTCATCATCAGATACATGGAAATAAAATCACAATAAGATAGCATTGCCTAACCACCAACATAGCTAAAATTAAAGCCAGAACCCTAAGATTGGCAAAGGTGTGCAGTAACTGAAATGCTCATACAATGTTAGGGTGTTAAAATGATACAGTTCCTTGGAAAAAAATCTCTGGAAGTGTTGTATAAAATAAACTGTAACTACAGTATGACCTAGAAGTTCCACTTCTAGGTATTTACACAACAGACTGAAAACATATGTTCGTATGTTCAGAGAAACACTTATCTCCAATAGCAGGCTTACTCATACTAGCCAAGAACTGGACAAAACTCAGGCTTCATGGACAAGAGAATGGATATACACAAATTACACATTTATATAATGGAATCCTACTCAACATTAAAAAGAACGATTTTGTGATACATACAACAAGACAAATGAATCTGAAGAAAACATTGAGCATACATGCTGTGTAGAGAGGAAGATTACATCTGGAGGCAGGGCTAGGAACTGATTAGGTAGAGGAAGGAAACAGCATTCTAGATCCGGAGCTATATCGATGGTCTGTATATCTTTTTATTTGTTTATACCATTATTACTTTTTAAAGTTTCCTTTTTAAACAAATTTTACTTTAAGTTCTGGGATACATGTGCAGAGATGTTCTCTGTATCTTGACGGGGGTTTGGATTACATAGATGTATATGTCCATCAAAATTCATTGAATCATAACACTAATGATTTGTGCATTTCACTCTAATTGAATTTTATTTCAAGAAACTAGTTAAACAAGTATCGACTTCTAGTTAGTGATATACTTTCCTAAATGCTTAGGGGTAAAGTTTACCGAGGTCTTCAACTTTAAAAGGTATCGTAAAAATAAAGGTGAATCAGTGGATGTACAGACAGATGGATATTAGATAATATGTAAAGAAGCCAATATAGCAAAATGTTAATTTTACAATCTACATGGAAGGCATTTGAGTGTTCATGATATAATTATTTCAATTTTTCTCTATGTTTGAACAATTTTCATAACAAAGTGTTAGGAACTAAAAGGCTTTGCTACTACTGCATTCCAAAGAATTTTTAAAAATTGTTGACGACATTATTGCTAGTCTCTGTCCCACCAGAGACTGGTGTGAGACTGGGTGTGTTTTTTATATTTTATCACATGGGATAAAAGGCAAGTCAATAACATCAGTTTGATTCAATTTCAATTTTCAAGGCATATCCCATAATATTTCAGCTCAGATTTGCAGGTTGAATATCTAGAACAAAACAATGCTGGCCACAGATTTCTTTTTCTTTCTTTCTTTTTTTTTGTTTGAGACAGAGCCTCCCTCTGTAGCCTAGGCTGGAGTGCAATGGTACGATCTTGGCTCACGGTAACCTCTGCTTCCCGGGTTTAAGTGATTCTCCTGCCTCAGCCTCCTGAATAGCTGGGATTACAGGCATGCACCACCATGTCCAGCTAATTTTTGCATTTTTAGTAGAGACAGGGTTTCACCATTTTGGCCAGGCTGGTCTTGAATTCCTGAACTCAAGTGATCTGCCTGCCTTGGCCTCCCAAAGTACTGGGATTACAGGCATGAGCCACCGTGCCCGGCTGTGGCTGTGGATGATAGAAAAAGATTTCTATCATCAGATTTATGTTATTAAAAGGTTTTAGAAATAGGAGGAAATACTGTCATTTATCTGCTTTTAACCTTAAACTTAAAATAAATCATTATTTAACTATATCCCTTAAAAATATTTCCCTTGAAATTATTTCTTGCTTTCACCAAAATGTGGTACCATTATTTTCAGCAGTAGAAAAGTACAAGAACCAAGGGAAATCGTATGATTTAATTTAATATGGTTAATTCTAACTTGGAATTAAATAAAAATACATATCTTCTGGTTTTGGGAAAAAACAAAACTAGGACAAATAAACCAAACATAGCAAAAGAGAAGAAAAATATTCTGAGGGGGAGCTGTTCTACAAAACGGAAAATTTTCCTTCCCTCTTTAGCCATTTTTTTTAAACAGTAAAAAAAAAAAAAAAAAAAAACTCCAGGAAAGAACAATAAGTAAAATTTCTTAACTGTGGCAATTAAATATTACATTTCTAGTCAATATGCATTAGTGAAAAAAAAGAGTTTTGAGGTAAATAAAATAGGGGATTTATAAAAACTTACCAGAAGCATTCCTGTTCCTGAGAGTGGCTAGGAAGGAACCCGTGAGTCCGATTCAAACAGAGTCTTCAGTGTCTTGGGATTCCGGACTGAATGGCCTGTGTCTGTTAACAAACATTTTCACTGAACACTACCAGGCCATGAAAATGTAGGCGCTTCCTGATGCCACTTCACTAACCAAGGTTTACTAATCTCTTAACTGGAGTGTTAATCAGGACTTGACCAAGGGGAATCTGTACCTCTAAAAAAGGAAATCTTCCCTTGTGAAGGATCAAGAAGGAAACAGGAAACTAATGAAACGTAGTTATTTACTTTTGCTGTCACCCAACCGGCTGTAAATACCACTACTATACACAGTTCTGAGCAAACAATGATTGTGCTTTGGCTGACAAACAAGAAATTCAACAGGTGGTTTATAGGAGTGACGTGTCTGAACACAGGTCAATTTCTATAGTATTCCTTAATGTCTTTAATGATAACAGGTAAGTCGAACACATGAGAGTTTGGTAAACAATTAACTTTTCAACCGCAGTTTATCTTGGGACTTCACAGGTACTTGTCAGCTTTTGTCTTCGTTATTTATTTATTTATTTTTTGAGATGGAGTCTCGCTCTGTCCCCCGGGCTGGAGTGCAGTGGCATGATCTCGGCTCACTGCAAGCTCAGCCTCCCGGGTTCACACCATTCTCCTGCCTCAGCCTCCTGAGTAGCTGGAACTACAGACACCCACCACCACGCCCGGCTAATTTTTTGTATTTTTGGTAGAGACGGGGTTTCACTGTGTTAGCCAGGATGGTCTGGATCTCCTGACCTCCTGATCTGCCCGCCTCGGCCTCAGAAAGTTCTGGGATTACAGGCGTGAGCCACCACGCCCAGCCTTGTCTTGGTTTTTATTGTTGTATATTAAATGGCCCTTTTGCACTTTACAATAAGGAGATCTTATTCCTTTGTTTTTTTTTTTTCATTATTTTTATTTTTAGTTTCTACTTTTAGTTCAACTGTGAAAAATAAAAAGGGAAGAAGTAAACTATCAGTAACGGTAAGGATGAGGGCTGAGAATGAATTCCACCTGGACCACTTGACCACGTGTTGTAGCCTGGATGTCCAACTTTTTTTTTTTTTTTCCTGAGACAGAGTTTCACTCTGTTGCCCAGGCTGGAGTGTAGTGGTGTGATCTCAGCTCACTGCAACCTCCACCTCCCAGGTTCTAAGTTATTCTCCTGCCTCAGTTTCCTGAGTGATTGGGATTACAGGCACATTCCACCACACCTGACTCATTTTATACTGTTAGTAGAGATGGGGTTTCACCATGTTGGCCACACTGGTCTTGAACTCCTGACCTCAGGTGATCCACCTGCCTTGTCTTTCCAAAGTACTGGGATTACAAGTGTGAGCCACTGTGCCTCACCAACTTTTGTCATTTTTTAAACTCTGAGAAACAGTTGTCTCCTCCCCTTCAGTCTTATGTGGGAAAAAAAAAAAAAAATTAAGTTGACATTTTAAAAATTCACATACATACTGAATGTATAATTATCTAGATTTTTAAAAGTTCTCTAGTTTATAAAATCTGGAATGTATAAAACTCATTTCTCGCCATATATTAGAAATAGAACACTGGTATCTAAAAAAGCAAGAGAGGCTGAGATAGGGAAACTCATAGAGCATGTTAGTCATAGCAATATAGGGTTCTATGGAATTCCAGTATCAACCTCCTCACAGTAATTCATGCTGAAAATCCTCAGCAAATTTGGAATAGAAGGAATCTTCCTCAATCTGATAAGGAATAAAAACCTAGAACTAACACCTTACTTAAAGGTGAAATATTGAATGCTGTCTTCCTAATGCAATAGTACCCACAAAGCTTACTGGAGAGTGTAACCAGTGCAATTAGGTGTGGCCTTCCAGCATTTCCACATAGCAGTTTATTCCTTTTGCTTGAGCTTTCTAGTTTGGGGAAAATACACTACTTTTTGAAGTAGTCCTTTCCATCTTTTTAGAGTTATGACTATGAGAAAATGCCAACTTACATTAAAGCAAATTCTGTTTCTCTGAAATTTCTACCAACAGAGTTTATTTTCACCCTCCAAGGTACACAGATGTTTCTACTTCCTCAAGAACAACTGGCATATCTGAGGGCACACCGTCCATGTGAAATGTAGATCTGCTAGTTTGTTTACTTGCTTTTGCTTATGTCAGAAACTCATATCTCCTAGATGCCCTTGTTCTTTTCATTTAGATTGTTTACAGTTTGCTGAGTGTCCATCTGGAAACTGTGGTGTCCAGAAGCTTGTGCAGCGTCCACGAGGCTTCTGCTCAGCACACAACAGAACAGGAAATTGCCTCTTCATTCTAGAAAACGTTCTTTCCTTAAACAGGACATATAACATGTAATTGTAACATTCTATATAACATTCTATATCATGTAATTATAAAATATAATTAAAATGATAATTTCTTTATACAATGAATTAGTGTTTCCACTTTTTTTTTTTTTTTTTACACCTGTTGCGGGAAGTCAGGGACCCCGAACGGAGGGACTGGCTGGAGCCATGGCAAAGGAACATAAATTGTGAAGATTTCATTTTAATATGGACATTTATCAGTTCCCAAATAATACTTTTATAATTTCTGAGGCCTGTAATCTCTTAATCCTATTATCTTTGTAAGCTGAGGATGTATGTCACCTCAGGACCACTGTGATAATTGTGTTAACTGTACAAATTGATTGTAAAACGTGTGTTTGAACAATATGAAATCAGTGCACCTTGAAAAAGAACAGAATAACAGCGATTTTTAGGGAACAAGGGAAGACAACCATAAGGTCCGACTACCTGCAGGGTCAGGTAAAAAAAGCCATATTTTTCTTTTTGCAAAAAGCCTATAAATGAATGTGCAAGTAGGAGAGATATCACTAAATTCTTTTCCTAGCAAAGAATATTAATATTAATACCCTGGGAAAGGAATGCATTCCTGGGGGAAGACTATAAATCGTTGCTCTGGGAATGTCTGTCTTATGTGGTTGAGGTAAGGACTGAGACCCGCCCTGGTCTCCTGTAGTACCTTCAGGCTTACTAGGGTTGGGAAACTCGACCCTGGTAAATTTGTGGTCAGACTGGTTCTCTGCTCTCAAACCCTGTTTTCTGCTATCAAGATGTTTATCAAGACAATATGTGCATCACTGAACATAGACCCTTATCAGTAGTTCTGCATTTCCCCTTTGCCTTGTGATCTTTGTTGGACCCTTATCAGTAGTTCTGCTTTTGCCTATTGTCCTGTTCCCTCAAAAGCATGTGAACTTTGTTAGACCCTTATTAGTAGTTCTGCTTTTTGTCCTTTGAAGCATGTGATCTTTGTACCTACTCCCTATTCTTACACCCCCTCCCCTTTTGAAACCCTTAATAAAAACTTGCTGAGACTCAGGCAGGCATCACAGTCCGACTGATATGTGATGTCACCCCTGGAGGTCCAGCTGTAAAGTCCCTCTTTTTGTACTGTCTCTCTTTGTTTTTCGGTCAGCCAACACTTATGGAGAATAGAAAGAACCTATGTTGAAATATTGGGGGCAGGTTCCCCTGATATACACTTGTTGCAGGTAATCCAGATTTTCTCTATTCTATACTAGTAAAGATGCTTTATTTGAAAACAAATGTAGTTCTTTACATTCCTGTGTCCTAAATTCTATTTTAATCATTTCTGTACAACATCAAGTCCATCTAACTCTGTTATATGATGCATATCTCTCTCTCAAAGCTTTATGTTTTTCATAAATTTCATAAGCCTATTGACTTGATAACACTGTGAAGTTACTGGTACAACTGTTAAAAAGATGAATGGAAGACAGCACTAGACATCTACAATTTGATTTAAATGTATTAATTGGCATTCTTTGGTTATGATACTCAACCATTGTCATGTGGACATTACTATCTATTCAATATTTCTATGTAATCACACATCATTATAAAGACACTATCAAGGCATTATTGACAGCCAGTTATGTTATTGTGTTGATTACTATAAATTAACTCTAGAAAAACAAGGTTGGTCCAATATCAGTTGTTCTTGATAATGCATTGTGGTCTTAGTGACCACAGCTTTCTCTTCTAGAAGTTTGTACATGTTTCTTTTAATAGTGATCAGTCTCTGAGGATGAGATATCTCTCATCTTCAGTTAGGGAACCTGGAATCTTTGGTGCTGAGGAGGTAAGGTGGGTGGCGATCTTTTGTTTTCTCTGAGAGTAGAATCCTTTCTGTAGTTGGTATTTCTCTGGATGTTTCTTTTAAGACAGTTTCTGGACCTGGACCCTAAACAAATAATTTGGTTCTGTGTCCCTCTGTGTTTTATTTCAAGAAAAACTTACTTTAACACGTGGTACAAATAAGACCTATAAAGAATAGCAAAGAGTTTATAACATAAGTATCTGAAAGCAGAACAGAGCAAATGTTCCTTAGATATGAACTTTGTTTTAATTTAAATTTTATACTAACAAAGTTCAAATTTTAAAGATTCAAAAAGGTATACAGAAAAATTGTTGTTATTCCTATTTTTCAGCCATCCAGTTATCTTTACTAAAAAGAACTAATGTCTCTAGTTTCTATGTGTATGTGTCTTTCCAGAAACATTTTATGCGTGTATAATCTAATATGTAAAAATATTGTGCTTTTTTTTAGCCGAGTATTTTTTAGCACAAATAGTAGATTTTTAAAAATATTTTTTGTATTTGATTTTTGCATTTGATATCTCTTGGAGCTCATTCTAAGACATAAACCCTATAAATAATTATGAGGGCTTGTTCTTTCAAATGCCATATTAAAATGTTTTTCCCTGTGCTGTACTTACTTGTTATTATTTTAATATGAAAATATTAAATATCACTTTAAAGTCAAAAATATTCTAAAAGTTAAGTTAACATAGACCACTAGATGGTGCTGTCATCCCAAAGAAATAAAATATGTGCATTGTTTTAAAAACAATTTGGCCATCTAAGGAAAAAAATCTGACTACTGTAGAACTGTATAAAACAAAAACTAACAGCTGGGCTTCTAAGTTCTGTGTCCCAAAAATAGTCACTAATAATTGAGATTTTTTTTTCTCTTCCTATACTGTTTGTGTGTGTGTGTGTTTATGCTCTTTTATAAAAAGTATCTAATACTGTACATTTTGAAACTTTTTTTCTAGAAGCCTAATATATGATGGAGTTCTTTCCATGTCAGTACATATACATTGATTTCATTCTTCAATGAAATTTGGTGAATAAATTATTTTAAATGATCTGAATGTTATA